GTTGTTGTAATTATTAATGAAATTCTTGAGGGGAAATTGTTTCGAAGTAAACCCTGCACCAAAAATTGGCAATAATTTCGAGCTATGACTCGGTTTACTGAACCGATTCTCTGGAGCGACCCGTTCGAACAAACCGATTCACTTGAATAAATCGCACTTCTTCTCAGCGAATAGGGCGCGCGAACTGATAGAGATTATTTCCTAACACAATGTCTTTTATTTACTTCAGACGTGAAACCAGCGGGTCAGAACCGTGGCGTGGTCGCAGACAGTGATGCTTCAGTGGATGTGAGGGTGAATGAAGACAGTAAATCTTACAGTAAATCACCAGCAGACGCTTACAGGAGAGCACTGAACTGGTACATCGGGCGCAGGCCGCGGACGGCTTTCTCTAGTTTTCAGGTAAATGTTCAGCTGCACCATAACATTTATTTAAAATTATATGTGACCCAGGACCACAAAACCAGTCATAATGGTCATTTTTTTTAAATTGAGATTTATATGAATAAATAAGCTTTCCGTTGATGTATGGTTTGTTATGATAGGACAATATTTGGCCGAGATACAATATTTGAAAATCTGGAATTTGAGGGTGCAAAAAAAATAAAAATATTGAGAAAATCGCTTTTGAAAAAAGTTGGAGAAAAAAAAAATCGCCTTTGAAAAAGTCGTCCAAATGAAGTTCTTAGCAATGCATATTACTAATCAAAAATTAAGTTTTGATATATTTACGGTAGGAAATTTACAAAATATCTTCATGGAACATATCCTAATGATTTTTGGCATAAAAGAAAAATCGATAATTTTGACCCATACAATGTATTGTTGGCTATTGCTACAAATATACACATGCTACTTATGACTGGTTTTGTGCTCCAGGGTCTCACATATGTGATATTTTTCCTTTAAATCATATGTGCCAGAACTAAATCAGTGGGTTTAATTTATTCAAAATAAAATTCTTATTGTCAAACGCACAAAACTGCAGGTTGTGAACTAGGCTATAATTTTTGCAACCTATTACACTGAATATTGAAAGCTGTTTGAGCCATGGACTATTTGTGATTTCTATAGATATAATATATAATTTTGCTATTAACTATACATTTTTTATGTCCAGATCAAGATATTGGAGAGTGTGTTTCAAGTGAACTCATACCCAGGCATTGACATACGGGAAGAACTTGCTAAGAAACTGCATCTAGATGAGGACAGAATTCAGGTGAAGACTGGTGTATATCTATATATCGATAACCATAGGCCTATTATTTATTTAATACAGGATTATTTGTTAAGGGATATCTGGATGTGTACTAGACCTATGCATAACACTAAACTGGAAGATGTGAAATTTAATAATTTTTTTTTTTTTTAATTGAAGTTTAAATTTAATACGTTTATTGCAGATGTTTGACTGATATTTTGTGTCTGTCTCTTAGATTTGGTTCCAGAACAGAAGAGCGAAGCTGAAGCGTTCACACAGAGAATCTCAGTTTCTCATGGTGAAAAACGTCCTCAGTGATATACAGTCCAGCAGAGACGAACGCTGATTGTCGCAGATCCACATTTGATCATATTATTATTATTATTTCTGTCGCTCTGCCTCACTCTGTGATGTTGTAATTTATTATATGTGTCTTTACCGGTTATGTAATAATCTTTTACTATGATTTAAATGCTAAAGATTCTTATTGTGTTTGCTGAAAATATAAAGGAATAAAGTCAATATAAACACAATTTTAATCTAGGTTTTAAATTCTGAAACTGTTTCTCTAATTGCAAGTGGAGTTAAGTTAACATTATCTTCTGCCAACTGTTAAGCAAACATCGCCCTCCACCTCCAAACTAATTAGTGCTTTGTAACTAGGGTTTAGTAAACCTATTAAGCATTGATTGGGTCACAAGGGGGGGTTTCTCTGAGGGGGGCATTTCAACAATTACATTTGCATTTGAGTCGGTCATGGGATTGTAACATTTCCAGTACTTGCACAGTTTTGTGTGTTTAAAAGAATGTAATATATTATATTATATTATATTATACACATAATACACATATACATATGCAAACACCAGGTGGCGCTATTGTTTTAAATCTTGCTCTGAAAATTGCTCTGCCTTTTTTCTAATTTGTTACAAAAATACACTGAAATTAAACCATTTTTACTTAGAAATTGCTAGTAAATACTAGTTTTAAATAATATTTTCTTGTAAAATGTACAACAATTTTTACAGTGTAGACTGAAAATAAAAAACAAACTGTCTTTAAATTAACAAATGCATTCTGTTAATAATATAATTTATAATATTACAGTGATCTACCTAAAAAATATTTTAAGAAGTTAAAATATAGTCAAAAATTTTTTGTACATGCCATGATAGCAACTGATATTTTGAAGTTGTTTTATAAGTAATTAATAATTGTTAATTAATTGGATGTTTTATAAGTAATTAATATAGACCTCAAAATATTACATTTAATTCAATGTGTAACTTGCCGCTTCTTTGAAATTGAGCAATTATTGAGTGAAAATAGTTTCTTAGCTTTTTTTTTTCCAAGTAAATTTGTTCAATGTTTTTTTTTTTTTAATGAAAATATAGTCCAAAATACATTTTAAAAATAAATGTCATGTTTAGGAGTAAAACTGAGGTACACTCTTAAAAATAAAGGTGCTTCACGATGCCATAGAAGAACCTTTTTGTCTAAAGGGTTCCATAAAGAATCTTTAACATCTGAAGAACCTTTCTGTTTCACAAAAGCTTCTTTGTGGCGAAAGAAGCTTCTTCAGATTATAAAAAGGTAAGAAAGAGACGGTTCTTTAAAGAATCTTAGACTGAATGCTTCTTCGTGGAAGCAAAAATTGTTCTTTGGCATCACTGTGAAGAACCTTTTAAGCAGCTTGATGATTCATGCTAATACTATTTAAAAATATATGCATTAATTATAGGAACAACAATAAATCGAAAACACCATATAATAAAAAAAGCAAAACCTATGTATTTCCTTAATGAAGTGAGCCATTATAATTTGTCCAGAATATCAAAGCACATTTTCGCAGGGCAATAACACACATTTATGGCTTTATTATTTATATTTTATGCACTGCATAATGAATGCATCATAAAAGCTGTTGGGGGCATTGCTGGTGTGGTCATCTTTAAAGCAGCTTGTTTTCATGCGAGTGTCTATAACAGAAGCGGAGCTGAAAGAGGATCTGCGTGTATCTGTGCACCCGACTCCTCCGGCCTCCAGATTTCTGTCTTTGATCTGAAACAGGATCGCTGGATGCACATCGTGGCTGTTGGCTACAGAGCAGATGAGCCGAACTTTCTCTCTGTCCTTTTTCCCCCCAGCATTTGAGACACGGCCAGAAATATCATCAGGATTACATAGAAAGCAATATTTTCCAGGTGATGTATATCTGAAAGGAATGAAACCGTGTGTCTTGACTGCTAACACTCAAAACTGAATTTACTGGTCCAAACCACAATACCATTCACCTGTTCTATAATTACTAATTTTTGCTTTAAAATGTTGTCTTGCACCTGCACACATCCATATTTTATGTGTATTTGCTGGATTTTCTTTATCATCTGCTGATAAAGTTTGATTTGAGGGTGGCGGATATGCATTTATGTGTCTGGTTTTAGTACAAACTGGTATGTAATTTTAATATTATTGATAGAAGAAAATGTGTTCATCTTAGCAATCAAGAAGATTCACACATTCAACAAACAGCTGATGCAGTAACCAATCTCATAGTAACAGATCATTCAAAATTCACTAATGCATCATCCACTATTGGTTATGATTATACACTCATCTGACATACTTCAGATGTCTCACATGTTTCAAGCGTGTCATAACAGGGTGTGAATCTCTCATATGAGGTCTGTCAGGTTTTGCAACCTGAAATTAAATGACAATGAAATGTGGAAGTGTCTTTACCACTGTACAAATGAACATGGCTTAATAATGAACTATGAAATAATCTTGTACATGTTCAGAATAGCAAACTATCATAGTATTTATACTAATTGTGTAGCATGCAGTAGGCTAAATCATCTAGCGACTGTGTAAAGTCGCTAGATGATTTATCTCACTTATGGATTAAATATGCAACATGATGAGGTCATGTGGCAACATGTAGAACATTCATGGTTGTATAAAACTATATTTAAATAAAAATCACAGAAAGTTTGTATACATATACTGCAAAAGGGGTATGTTATGTGATATCAGAACACAATAAAGCATGAAACATATTGATTACTGTAAACGTGCACGGTTTCATATGTGACCCTGGAGCACAAAAGCAGTCTTAAGTAGCACAGGTATATTTGTAGCAATAGCCAACAATACATTGTATACAAAATTATAGATTTTTCTTTTATGCCAAAAATCATTAGGATATTAAGTAAAGATCATGTTCCATGAAGATATTTTGTAAATTTCCTACCGTAAATATATCAAAACGTCATTTTTGTTTAGTAACATGCATTGCTAAGAACTTCATTTGGACAACTTTAAAGATGATTTTCTCAATATTTTGATTTTTTTGCACCCTCAGATTCCACATTTTCAAATAGTTGTATCTCAGCCAAATACTGTCCTATCCTAACAAACCATACATCAATGGAAAGCTCATTTATTCAGCTTTTAGATGATCAAAAACGTTTAGATTCAAAATATTGACCCTTATGACTGGTTTTGTGGTCCAGGGTCACATGTTATTTTCTAAAGGCAATAAACAGCATCTTAAACCGAATTTTCTGACAGGGATGTCTTTTTATTATCTAGTTCTTTGCAAAAAAAAAGTAAGCAAAAATAAGTTTTTACTGCTATATGCAGTAATCAGCCTGTTATTCAACATAATAGGTGAAGTCGCGCGCACTGTATTTTCATACTACAGAAACAGTAGGATTGGAATGGCATTATGCTGTGTGCACACACACACACACACACACACACACACACACACATGTCTGGTGAGCTCCACTTGCACCTCCTTCACGATCGGCGGCGGAGCCTCGCTCGCGTTCATTCCCATCAGTGGAGCTTCATGGACGGACAGGAATGGCTGGGTCACGGAGACTTGTTCATTTTTTCACGGCTTTGTGCGTGTTTTTGTACTGCAGCGCTCCGGTGAACGGAGGAAAGCGAGGAAACTCGGATAAATGCAACTACAAGGTAAAAAACAGACTCGAGCGAAATCTGTAAAACATTAGCGTGCGATGTTTCTGTCAGTGACACGAGCTGAAAACTTTACGAACAAGTTTAGTCATGTCACGTTACCTCAGAAGAACATTTAAAGCTCTCTTTTTCTTAAAACTTTAAGCCTAAATGAGAGTAGTATTCAGCAACTATGGTAAATTATTGATCACAAAACTGTGTTTTTGCAATGTGTGGAAGTTAAAATAGCCTACAAGTATCCGAAAGCAAATATCTTTATTTGTAAGGCAGATTATGTGTGTTTATTTGGGTTTACACTCTTAAAAATAAAGTTGTGGTACCATAGAGCTTTTGTAATTTTGCATGTCTTTAATAACATGGTAGCTGGTTTTAGCTGGTTCAAGTTGGTCTACCTAGTTGACAAGCTACAATGTTTCAAAATCCTTAGCTGGTTTGTTGCTGGTCTGAGGTGGTCAAGCTAAAACCGAAAATAAAGGGCTAAAACTTAACTTTCCCACTTTTTTATTATCTAGTTCTTCTGAAAACCATCTCTGTTTTGGTGGCTTCAAACCCCAGAATCTAAACCACTGATCTAAAGAAACTTTTTATCTTTATTTTTAAGAGTGCACCTGTATGATTTGTGCTGTGTATTTGAAGTTAAAGTCTTGTGCAAACAGTGTTCATCCGGTCAGGAGCATTGAGCTTTTGGGAAATGGCCTTTTTAGTAGGTCAGATGTGTGAAAGAGTCTCTCAGTTGGGTCTTTTGTTGCTGGAGTTGACCTGTTGATGCTTTTGTGAATGGAGTTGAATGGTGGTAGACTAGAGATCAGTGGGGAGATGGAAATTAAAAAGGCTGCACAACTTTTCATGTAAGCATTCAGTTGAATTTCTATCCTTATATTGGCGAAACACCTTGAAAACAAAATAAAACCGGGATATTGAATTATGGTTATTTAAAGGGACAGTCACCCAAAAAGGAAAATTTACTCATCATTTATTCACCCTCAAGTTGTTCCTAACCTGTATGAGTTTCTTTGAGCTGTTGAACACAAAAGAAGATATTTTGAAGAATGTTGGCAACCAAACAGTTGACGGTAGCTATTGACTTCCATAGTATGGAAAAAAATACTATGGAAGTCAGTGGCTACCGTCAGCTGTTTGGTGGATGTTTAATATATGGCTTAAACTTTTTGATTTTATAGACAGCCACATGACTGCTTCATTAATGCTTAACTGTTTCTTAACTTAACCAACCTTTTCCTTTTCATATGAGTATCAGCTATCAAAAGATGATTCAAAAATGAATATGGCTGTAATACAAGATAATTCACAAGTCCATATTGTGTTGGCATTGTTTGTCTTGGGCTTTTCTTCCTGCTGACCCGTGTCTGGGTCGTTTGCTGATGACAGACAGGCTGTTGACGGACAGATTGCCCCACAATCTCATTGTCTTGGAGGGACAGGGCTGCTTTGAAGTCATTTCCCATAGGAAGTCAGTGAACTGTTTGCTCTATTAAAATTCTTTGGCATTTCCTTTTAGGAAGCACAGTTCGCCTCCCTCCACTGCTACATCAAAGCCGTCCTGTTGAGAGAAACACTTCAGGTGTGAATGAATTGTGTGTTCTTGTGAGCCGTTACACTTTTTCTTCTGTGCTGACAACTGGGCTGAGACATAGTCGAACTACTACTTTTTATAGACAACAGACACTCAGACAGTGTGTGACTTCATTAATGAAAGCTGACATTTGTGAGATTCTTTTTATATGCATTTTTGTGCATAATGAAGATGTGCTTTTGCATGCTCTGTGTGTTTTAAAGGACATTTTGACTTTTTAATGCTGTTTTGAGATCGTAAAATTACTGAGGCATCTCTATTATGCTTTATACCATTGCTCATACTTAGATTTAGTTGTTTGATCACATCTCTAAGTTGCGAAATTTGATGCATAGCCTGTCCTGCCGTTTTTGTGGTATGAGTATGAATGATGCCTAAAATTGTATGTATTGTAGAGGAGAGGTGAGCTATTATTATTCAGTGCAATCTTACATAAAATTGACATGGGTCAGTAAGCAGTCATCTTAGAAATGTATGTTTTGCATGGTCAAACACCACTCACAAAAATGTATCATTTTTATGATGCATGCAAAAAATTAAAATTTGTCTTTTTAAAGAAAATGTAATGGTTTCTGTCACATATGTGACCCTGGAGCACAAAAGCAGTCATAAGTCGCTGGGGTATATTTGTAGCAATAGCCAAAAATACATTGTATGGGTCAAAATTATAGATTTTTCTTTTATGCCAAAAATAATTAGGATATTAAGTAAAGATCATGTTCCATGAAGATATTTTGTAAATTTCCTACTGTAAATATATTAACTTAATTTTTGATTAGTAATATGCATTGCTAAGAACTTCATTTGGACAACTTTTTCAAGGCGATTTTCTAAGTATTTTGATTTTTTTGCACCCTCAGATTCCAGATTTTCAAATAGTTGTATCTCGGCCAAATATTGTCCTAACAAACCATACATCAATGGAAAGCTTATTTATTCAGCTTTCATGATGTATAAATCTCAATTTCGATAAATTGACCCTTATGACTGGTTTTGTGGTCTATTGTCACATATTGTGTCTGTAGAGAGTTTTATACTTTGCATCATTGAGTTTTTGTCAATTCTCATATGCAAAGACAAAAAAAAAATAAGTAAAACGAGTGTTTATTTTTAAGATGTAAAAAAGTGCTAGTTTGTGTCGCATGTTGTCTCTGTGTAGAATTTTATACTTTCTGTCTTTGCTTTGTTTCCTGTTTTTGACTGCACAGTTCAGGTTAAGTCTCAGGAAAAACAAAGGTAGATATTTAAATTGGCCTCTGAGCTTTGTTGGGCTCCAGCCAAGGCTCAATTGGTTCTCCGATGGGGGCCTTTTGGACTCGGATTAAAGTAGTTGTTCTCTCCGGAAGTCCCAGGCCTCTCGGCTCAATAGCATCCTGCCTTTGGCTTTCCAACGGGCTCTGTGAGAAATCCCACTGCCAGGGCATCATAGGGAGTCATAGAAATGAGCCTAACTTTCCTTTCCTTCTCAGAGACTGACCTCAAGTCCCGTATCTCTGTTTAAGAAATGAAGGAATTCATTACGGAACGGATATTACCGGCTGTGTAATCGGTTTAACAAAAGTCTCGTCCCCGTCCATCTGGTTAAGTTATGCTCTCTGAGAATGATGGCAGCCAAACCTCACAAACATTAGCAAGCATCTCGAAATTGTTTCCAGCAAGAGCAATGGTTTCTGGGGGTGTGATTAGCATCGGGGGAGACTTCAGTTGTGCTTTCAAGGGAATTGAGGGCCTTGATTAATATTCAGCTTTGTAGAGGTCACTTTTCCTTGGGCGCTCAAGTAAATGTTTTGCAGAGAGTGTATTTATTTGTTCCCTAAAGAACTTTAAATAATAAAGCCGGAACGCCTTCCGCGTATGACAGATACCGGAAGTGAGAGAAAAGTGTTTATTACGTTTGAAATATGGACATTTTTCTTATGAAAACGCATGGATTCGCTACAGGAGGCCTTTATTCACCCCCCGGAGCTGTGTGAGGCACGTTTTATTATGGATGCACGCACTTTATTTGACGTCTTGTGGACAGTTGACCAGAAACACCCGCTGACTGCAATGATAACGCTTAGAGGAGCCAGGACAATTTTTAATATAACTCCGACTGGATTCGTCTGAAAGAAGAAAGTCAAATACACCTAGAATGCCTCGAGGGTGAGTAAAAGACAGGCTAATTTTCATTTTTGGGTGAACTAACCCTTTAATGACAATCTTGGGATAGTTCACCCAAAATTGAAAGTTGTCGTCATTTACTCACCCTTATGTTGTCCCAAAAGAACACAAAAGAAGATATTTTGAAGAATGCTGGGAACCAAGCAGTTACCAGTAGCCGTTGACTTCAATAATACTAGGTATATATTGAAAAAAATGCTATGGAAGTCAATGGATAGATACCGGTTTGGTTCCCAACATTCTTCAAAATATCTTCTTTTGTGTTCAACAGAAGAAAGAAAATCATACTCCAATTCATTTTTGGGTGAACTATTGCATTTGCTTCATGTACATATTTAAAACGAAAGCAGTCGGATGGAAAAATGTTTATAAACCAGAACAAATCTCATTGGTGGTTTTGACAACTGATCTAGATCAGACCTGAATGTCAGGGCTGAAATCTCCCAGTTTCAGTCTAATGTATTGGTCAAATAAAACAAAAGCGTAATGGCCCGTGTTTTACTGCGTCCCCAGACGAACACAAGCAGAATCCCGGCCAAGTCCTTCCTTTATTATGGTGGTTCAGGGATCTAATGCAAAACCTTGAGTGCATATATGGGCCTTTTTCCATTTCTGTGTGTGTTTCTCAAAAGAGCCCTCACACTTTGGTTCCTTGTCCTCGTAACATCTGGTTGAGGATGAATGATGGGGAAGGGGGTGTGTTTCATGCGCTCACAGTGCGGAGAGAGAATGAAAGGAGGGTTCACTCTGAGTTATTTCTGTGCCATCTTAAGGGTGCATTGAAAACCATCCAAGCAGCTCGTCACCTTGGAGGCTGTGTCTTGTGCTGCGGTGGGAAAATCCCTGGTTGGCTGGCTCTGAATCGGCCCCGTTCACTGAACCGCTTTGAATTCTGGGACGGAGGTCTTTCAGCGGCTACACTTCTTTTGACCGGACGAGTGCTCCTGCCGCTCGCT